TTAAAAATAATATGAATTTCAAATAGTTTTAAATGGCAGGGTAATAGGATACTCAAAGGTTATGAGTAGCTGATTTAAATTGGTTGTGGATACAAGCATGCAAGTGAAAAGGTGTGGAATTTGTCAAGGAACTAACAAAGATCCCCTCCTCTAGTCATAGAAATGGGTTCTAGTAGTTGCTTTAAACTGATTGTGGATTCTACAATTTGTTGATCAACAGAATGGAAAAGGCAACTATAGGACCCAAACATATATGACAAACAAACCTGGAAGTCAGACAATACAGCAGCTATCCATGTTTATTATTTCTCATCTTTTAGCTGGCTCCTCACTGACCTCTCCTACCAGAAAAAATGTGTAAATTGATGCAAAACTCCATCTAAAGTTTGCATTATACACCTTTAGACAGAGAGAACAAGCCAACTGTCAGTTATAAAATTGACAATCTCAATGGGCACTAGTGCAGATCTTGTCACTCTGATGTTGTGTAGTCATGCCTAACCAACAGATCTAATCTCTCCAGCAGCAGCAAAATCATTTGAAAATTTTTTAGGAAGTGGCAGACAGGGCAGATGAAAGAGAAAATGAAAAGGAGAATCACAGCACCCACAGCTCTACCATTCATTTATTGTACAATTGAGACACAAAGTCGTCATGGCTTTCAGAAAATTGTCAATTAAATGTTTTGCAATTAGTCTTAGTAGGACTTACTATACTTTCTCTGACATTGGTAAAACATATTCTATAACACCAAAAGCATTAAAAAAGCCCCAAAGAGGTTGAGATTTGGTGCTAGTCAGGTTAGACATGACAGGAACCTCTTAAGAGATTGATTTGGATGGGGACACGGTTCTAAGAGTCATTTGGATGATTTAACCGGTGGGATGACTGAATATGGACGGTAATCTCAATACCCTCAAGCTCACCCTTCATCTCCTCATTTGCAACATCCTGTTATCACTAAGAACATATAAGGCTCGTGGAAGGATAAAGTGGCAGAAGTGCTTCAAGACACCATCAAGCATGTGCAATGAGATAACAGTGCATCTGTTCAGAATCATGAAGTGGAGGTAGGAGTCAAAGATTCACACCACACACACGTGGTGACCATTAGCAAGAACCTTGAACTTCAACCAGTGGATGTTGCGGTTAAGAGGAGAAAACAAGGAGGGCTACTGCATCTGTTACATCAATCTGTTCTGTCCAATGCCATATCCATTGTTAAACTATGGGCACTTAAATCATTTCTTATTACTTGTACCCAAGTCCTTTTTCAGTCTGCCCCTAGCTCTTCTAGCCCCTTAAACTTTAACAGATCTTTTTTTTCCAACAGGTGATGTAGATCATCTTCCATGCACATGACCAAACCATCTCAATATACTTTCCCTCATTTTATCATCTATTGGAGCCACTCCTAGGTTCCTTCGTATGACATCATTTCTAACCCTATCATTCCTAGTGTTACCATTCATCCATCTAATCCATTCACACTTCTGCCACAATCATTTTTTGGACATACTGTTTCTTAACTGCACAACACTCTGCTCCATACAATATAGCTGGCCTTGCAACTATTTTATAGATTTTTCCTATTAGCCAAAGTAGTACTCACCTATCACCCATCCTGCTTTAATTCTATATTTCCATGGGTAACAACTTCCTCAATCACTTCTTTGTTATGAACTATTGAACCAAGGTAACAGAAGAGGTCAAACATTGAGTAATCTCTTGGTAATGAAAGGCACATATGGCAAGGAAAGATGGGGAGAAGATGCTGAAGATTTCAATGCACTAATTGCCCAAAAGTTTACGATAGAAAAGGCACATAGATAATAAAAAAGTGGTGGATAAAGAAATAGAGGTGGGGAAGCAATTAAGCATATTCTTCTTAGGAGGTAAGGAATAAGCCAGGAGAATTCTTATGGAACTAGAACAGAGAGAGAGGTTAATTCAGAATGCATTCCGAAGCGGGTGAGATGTTTCATGTTTCTCAAGGAGAGGTTACAGGATGACACTGAGATTCAAAGGAAAGTTTGAAGGTGCAACAATATGGTTTTTCATAATCCTAAGGAGAGTATTTGCAGTATGAGGATTTGATAATGTGTAGAAGGGTTTGGGTATATATATTTGATGTGATGGGTTGGGCTTTATCATGTGATCAGGAATGAATTATGTAATGTCTGAATTGGAATTTGTTTTCTTGGGGTTAGGGTGAGATCGGCCTGATAAGATTGACATTTGTGCTTGCTTATTGATAATCTTTGTTATGTCAGAGTGGTGTTGATATCTTTGGGAGGCTATGCAACAGGTCTTTGTATACTTTGTTAGTGATACTTTTTTCCTATTAAATGAAAATTCTATTTTTTTACTATTATACTATCAAAAAAAAGTTATGTAAAACAAACCATGGCAGAACAACAGTGAAGCAATGTCCAATGTCACATATTTAATAACTAACAAGATGTCAACTGATAATGGAATACAGTTCTAGCAACAAAAGGTTATAGAACCTAAATATAAGTTTTTGTTGATCAGGAAAAATAGTAGAATTTTCAATTTTCAAAGGAAAAACATGACAATAAAATGAAAATAAAAATTAAAGGGAAATTAACAAGTACACAAAAAAAGTAATAATATGAAAAGATGACAACTAAAATAAAAGCTGCATATTCAATTGAACGTAACTAACTCAAATTACCACAATCATGTGCTTATCAGCAAAACATTGATAGGTTTGATGACTGGGTTAGATACAGCAAAATAGAAATCAATAGAAATGGTTGAAAGTGAATGTAGTAGCTTACAGTGGTAGCATGGATTCCAAAGATTCCAGTATTATTGTAGATGCTGTTGAATGCAGAAAATGATTGAATTTGTTGATATTCATTCAATACACGGAGATCTGTTTTCACACATCACCATCAGTTAGATGTTCAAAAGCATGGAACACCCAAATCACAAAGAGAACTGTCCCAATCATCATAAATAGAGTATCACTTAAATGCATGAGATCCATCATAATGTTGCTTGTGTGTGATGTTTGGTGCATGCATAGAGCCAGACTCAAAGCACAAGCATTCCTCGATTAGATATGCAAGCACTAACTTGCCGTTCTTATACATCTGCTTGGAGCATGGTAACACATGCACATGTAAATGGAAAGAAAAAATTTAAAAAAAAAAAAAAGAGAAAGGTGAACTGATAGCAATTCAAATACCCCATATCCAATTAAGCTAACTGCAGTGAATAATTTGTAAACTTCACTTAGTAGTTATATGACAAATGTAAGACTTACATAACCGTGAATACATCCCTTTCCCAGGACCACCAGCTGAGAAAGAGCCACCTCCTCCCATAAGCATCTGTAGAATGTCAGATTTATTATTACTTCCCATATAGGTGTGATACAAACAGAACAGGAGACAAGGTGAATTGGAGAGGAAAAGAATACAATTCTAGAACACTTTGGGGCTATTTGTCCTGGGAAAAAAATTACAATTTTTTTTGATAAATGGAAACAAATTACAATTCTAGAACTAAATGACTCATTGCTTTAACAATCCAACCCTGCAGAACAGCAGGTCCACCAACATGGGAGGTAATGGTGCCTTGGGCCCCATTTGGTGCATCTTTTCGCACAGTCTGTCAGCTATTTACAAGCCCGGCAGACCGCGATTCGGTCTTTTCCCGTTTGGTTTGCGGTAGACTTGTTTGGGATTGCCTCAAGGTGCGTGGTAGAAAGGCGACTCATAGAATCAATAATGCACAATGTTTTACATCACATTAGCTACTTGAAGCAATGCAATTAAGGGGAAAAAAAAAAAAGATTGTGAGTTTTACATGCTTGAAAATGCCTTCTTTATATATTTGCTTTTATATTTAAATTTTCATTTGAATAAGCTTTACATGTTATGTTTATGTATTTTAATTTTAGATAATAGGCTTTTTAAAACATTTATTTTAAATTTTAAGTTTATATTTTTTTATTAGCGTTATGTTTATTATTCTTTTGAATTTTTCTGAATTTTCTGACTTTTTTTATTTTTTCGATTTTTTTGTAATTTTGCGCCTTGCTTAAAAAGGCAAGCACCTCAGGCGCAAATTGGCCCTTGCGCTTTTAAAACACTGGATCTAACGACCATATGGCATTGTGTGGCTGCACTACATGGTTAGAACTTAAAACCATGGTTAAGCAAAATAAGCTACTTATGTTAGAAATACTGTAATTTTACTGATAATCCAGGTTGCAACATTTTTAAAATTCTAGGTTTCAAATCTGAAATAGAAACTTTTTGTTAAAGTGAGAGATTTGGCCCATTAAAATATTGTTTTCTTTTTCGATGCATATGGGAAGCATAGATCGAGTCCACAGCAGGTATTTGACACTTGATTGATTAATGATTTGGATATAGGTTTTACCGTTTTAGTTCCATAGGCCAGGCATTTGTCAATACAAATTTGGCATTAAATATTGGAGCAATTTGCAAGTTGCAAGTTCTCTTCCAATATTTGGTAGTTATTTAGGGATTTTCCAAGGTTACCTAGAATGACCAATTTTCATTAGTACACAGATGGCTGCTTATGTTCAAAGGTTAGGTCTGTACCAATCCACCCCTCCCAGAACCCAAGTTGGATTTACATTTTTCAGCCCCGACTCTAACCTAAACTTCAATGCAACCTAACATTTTTGGGTTAGGTTCAGCCTAACCTGCCCCAAGTTGCACTGCACCACTTTGTTCATGTCCATGTAACACTATTACACAGGCAATATGGGAACACAAAACACCCATTTCTAATCTAAATATGGACAAACACACTGGAAGGCACTTTCAGAAGCCAAGATCAAGATAAAAATACCTGAAGCACAGTCAAAGTCATAGCTTCCTTCTCCTTATGCCAGCCACCAGGTACCTCAAAAGCAAGAGCAATATGTGTCTTCTGCTCTTACAAAGAAGAGATAAAATTATCAAAAACAGCGCATTTAGCTAATACAAAATAGTGTAGACAACAAAAATATTTCAGAGATAATGCATATGATACATACCGCTGAGTCGGCTTGGCAACGATAATCGCCTCCAACATACACAGACTTTGGCTCCTCAGGACGAAGCACGCTAGGAAGATCAGACAGCAGGGGTTCTGCAATAGATACCAATTCTTCGTGCTCAACCCCGGAAGCGGCAAGAACCATCCGTGGAGCGGAATAGTGCTCCTGAATATCACAAAGCAGACAGTAGTCTCAGACCACAAAGAACTCAAAAGGTATAGATGAGTTTAGTAATTTAAAAAGAATCACAAGAGAAAGAAAATAAAAGAAAAAATAAATATGCTAATAGGATGGAGACAAAAAATCTTACAGCAACAAACTCTTCCAGGATTGTACCATTCAATCTGTTTAATGCAGATTCAGGTGCCAGAAGAGGATTGGCCAGTGCACCAGAATAACCAGCAGAGTGAATTGCCTCCAGAAGCAAGCCCTGTGGATTGTTGGAAATTTCTGCAATCTCAGCTTTCACCTTCTGCAGCTGTAGAAGCAGAAAAATGCAATTTAATGGAGTCAGAGTTGGCACATGACATGATCTAACAAATCTCTTAAGGTCAAGATGGCACAAGCATGGTAACAGGAAAGACCTGTTCATTGACCTCCCAATCCAGGAATACAGGGTTCCTCACACAATCAATAAGCAGTTCTACCATTTCAGGGACGTATGTTTTCAGAGCATCATACGAGTAACCCATTTGCTCTCGCGAAGCTGACGCTGTCACATTGCCCCCAATTGCTTCAACCTCCCGCACAATACGTAAGTGACTTCTGTTAGCTGTGCTCTTGAATGCCATTCTCTCCAGTAGATGTGTAGCCCCAAACGAGATGGGTGTTTCATACACAGAACCACAATCAACATATAAACCTATGGAGGCAGTAGGGTTCTGTTCAACCAACCCAAGCAGCAGTAATTAATTAATGCTTAATAGCAAAGATTATTTTAATCTCCTGAAAGCAAGGGTAAAGAGATAGGATAAGAAATACCATTGATGTTTCTGAAGCAATCTTGACACCATTAGGGAGAGTTGTTATCTTGGTCTTTCCAGGTTCAACGTAATCAGGAAGTGGAGGTGGAAGGGTAACCCCAGGAAGAGGGAAATCTAGAGGAGGGAGAGAACTAGAACGTTCCCCCGTAAGCCAGCTGAAGAAACCTCCAGAAGAGGATGTTCTGGTAGCCATGGCACCCGAACTTGCAAACCTGGCAGCTCCCCTATTGATCCCATGGCCCTATTCAAACAATTCCACATTGAACCAAAAGCCATTTCCATTTGGTAAGATTTCAAACGCATAATAAACCAACAAACGACTCAACCAAGAATACGTTTCCCACCCACCCCCAGAGAGGGAAGAAAAGAAGTTTTATATGGCAAAGTATGAGCTGAAAGAAAGTATAAAAAGAAAAACTATATGGCATGTGATATAATTTGAAATGAAAATGATATGAACATGACTAAACCACCTACGTTTGACCGGCTTATTGAGTTGATATTGTCTGATTTACTGTCGCTATGAAAAAATGTCGTATGTTCAACGCTTTTCAGATGATAACAAAACGATGACAATAATAATAATGAGGCCAAAATAAACATCTTTTTCTGTTAGAACTGCAAATTAAGAATTCTAGGCCAATGTTGTATATTAGAAGGTTGTAAAACAAATAACAGAGAAATCCCAAATCTTCCATCTGAGTATTCTGTCATGAATCTCAACATCGAAACCAATAAAATGTGCATTTAGAAAGGTATACTTAACCTCCCAAATAAGCATCATAACGTTTACAATCAAGCTGCAAACAGATCTAAGAACCATGTATTTAGATAGAAATATTGAGATAAGAAACTTCAGAATAACTATGTTTAAGATATCCACCAAATAACGGTAAAGACGCATTAGATAATGAAGCTTCAAACAAGCGATAGCATCAGTTTTGTGAGGTATTTTCATGAAAACTGTAATTCGTATGCGATCGAATGGAACTAGTCAGATTAGGGTTTCAGTAGACTGAAAGAAACTAACCTTGAGAACCCTAAATCGTGAAGCTACCGTTCTGTACATGATCGATTGCAACGAAACCCTAGGGACCGTGGTATAGCTCCCTGCTTCGTTATGCGCCGATTGTGATAAAACCGATAGAGAGCTGTGGAGGAGAAAACTCGTACTTATGGAGTCGCTTTATTTATGCAGTGCAATGGGTCTATTGGAACTTTGGAAGAGTCTCCGTATCTGGGGCTAAGGAACGCAGACAAGGTCGCGCCCCTACACTTGCCACGCTAGGGCTGCCAAAGCCAAAAAGGTATCGGTTATATCCGGATTAGACCCGGTCCAATTACGATTAGTATTTAGTAGAATTTGAACCGCTTATGTTTGGATTAAATATGAATCTACCCTAATCCCTTCTTTAAAAATTTGTATTTGTGCTTATATATGCATTTGCATAAATTTAATATTTAAATTGGCGATTTTTTTTGTAATAAGGTTGGTTTGAATGTTGTAAGCTTACAAAATGTTACAGGTTCAAGTTTCCTAAAAGGTTACTTTTAAGTCATTTTTCGTTCATTTTATGCAAAAAAAAGTTATTTTTTGTTCATTATCATCATCCCCTAATGCTGCGTTTGGAATCGGTGTAAAAGTTTATACCGGTTTGATTTTGTCCGTGTTTGGAAGGAGAGTGTAATTATAATTGACATAAAACTCCATTTCGATTCAATTTTGAGTGCGTTTGGATGGAATAGAGTTTTATGCCGATAAACGATGTAAAACCTATCAAATGTAAGGCTATGTTTGGAATCAGTGTAAAACGTCATCGATCTAAAAATACACCGATGATGTTTTTACACTAAATTGTGAAGTGATTGTTGCTTTTTGAAAAACGCAATGGGTGAAGAGTGTAAAGTTTTACATCGATTAAAACTCCACTCTATCCAAATGTATGCAAAACTGAAACAGAGTAAAATTTTACGTTGATCATGATTACACTCTCCTTTCAAACGCGAACAAAATCAAACCGATGTAAACTTTTACACTGTTCTTGATTTACACCAATTTCAAATGTAACCTAAAGTTTTATCGATTATCAATGTAAATACTAGATTGATTTTATTGATGTAAAACTTTGTAATCTTCACCCATCACGTTTTTCACAAAACAACAGTCAATTTCACGTTTCAATATTACACCCGTGACGTTTTACATTGATTCTAAACGCAGTAGATGGAGACAGCTACATGAATCCAGTCATTTTTGAATGTTTTTAATTTGAACGTGACAAAAAATAAAAGGTCTGATATGAATCCAGGTAAGATTTTTTTTTTTAATTGAATTTTAAATATCAACATTGTCAAATTTGGATCTGGGTATATCCGATTCATCATGTAACCACGCTACGTCCTGAGAATCGGGGGCTGTCTTTACTCACTACACAGCTCCCATGCATGCACCTGTGAAATTCATCAAATGAGGCATTTAGACTGCAACTTGGAGCAGGTACAAACCAAGTCCAACCCAATAAAACCTGAGTATTACATGATTTAGGTGTAGTGCTTTGGGCCGAGATGGGCTTGGGCCTCAAAAATCGGGCTTAACCTCACTTAAGGATGTACTTGGGCTGAGGGCTCAAGTAGCCCAAGCCTAACAGCCCTTCTATGCTATATTTCCCATACATATCTCATATATGTGCATCTTGTATTTGGTACGATGTACTTCGTGTGTATAGTGTATAGCATACATACATGTCTATATACATAACATATGTATCGATGTATGTGCATGTATGATCAACCAAGTTTGTATTTATATGTATATAGGTGTATTGGTACTTAAAACTTCATGTTTTTATGTTTTTTTTTTTAATTTAGTATATATATATATATATATATATTTATTAAAAAAAAGGTTCTCAAAAGCACCTATAAACAGGAGTTTCAGGAATCAAAATATACGACATGATACGATACACCCAATATGGGGCATATGGTATCAATACTTTGAATCTTGGCTGGTATATACAAAATCGTTTTGTAAAACTATATAAATATGGAACTTCGAATGTTATTTGCATATATATTCTCTTCAATTTGTTTTTAAGTTGGACGATAAAACCCAAATAAAAAGGTAGAAATGCAAATATGAGTAAAAACACCTTAAAATGGCTGTCTTTGGTGATGTAAAACTTGAAGTGTACTTAGATTCAAAAGTTGCAGTTAAGGTTGTATTTGGTACCATTGCCACTTCTACTTGTAATGTTTTTTAAGTCGGTCAATACAAATTTTTGAGAATTTGTCCCGTCACATTGCATGAGATAATCACTTCCACTAAAAAATATAGGCATCACATTGGGTGTTCGCATTTATAGTAGAAACACCAAATATGGTGTTTTTTCAAAAAACAACAATGATACCAAATGTTGTATTGATAACTCAAAGCATTTATTATATACATTATCATAGAATTTGTATTGACCAACCTAAAATGTTGTAAGTAGGTGTGGCAATGATACCAACACAACCTTAGTGACTGGAAAATGATAAATCAATTCCACACCCATAGCATGAAGTTGTCCACAATGAAAATTCATCAAAGCTCCGTTCGCTTTTTGGTAAGCTATTTACCCGGGTAAATGCATTTACCCAGGTAAGTGTTTCTCAGGAAATACTTACCCGGGTAAATGCATTTGCCCATGTTCTTTTGTTTCCCATGTAAATAAGGTAATGACCATTTTAGCCATAAAAATCCAATATTAAAGGGGTATTTTTGTCTCATTCAAGTGTTGACAAGTTTCCCTCCAAGTGGGAAACTTATTTACCCACCTATGAACATAGGTTTCTTCTTAGTCAATGGGAATCAAAATCCAATTGACCAACTTTCCCCCCTCTCAAAATCCAGAAAAAGAACACCCCCCAAAACTCATAAGGGATGGGGTGATTGGTTTGAGAATGAATGGGTATGATACCAGAAGAACTTTGACCAATCACATCCCCTCCTTGCCCTTGGTATAGGGCATAAGTGTAGGAGATCCGGACTGAGTTTCTTGGCATCCAAATTGAACATTTTACTTAATTGAATCCTTGGGTCCAGCTTGTTTGTGATATGAATTTCTTCTGCACTATTGTAAATGCATGAGAGTGTAAATAGGCTGATTGTAAATTCTGGTTTTCTTTTACTTCAAATTTGGCTTTGTCTTATTTGTTTCTATGAATTAAAATAGGAAGTAAAATGACATGCCTAATGAAAATAGAAGCAGAAAGACTTGTTTATTTGGGAGTGAGATTGGTTCAAGATTATGTAATCCTCACTTTATATGAGAGAGAAGGAAATAATATAGATTTTGCATCAATTTTTGGGAAACAGAATTTGCACTGCCGGAAAGTACTAATGAAGTAAAAAGAAAAAAAAAACAACTGTTGTATCAAATAGAAGTGCAAATTATAGTTACAAACAATTAGATGCAAAACTGGAATGGGTGCAAAATTCGTATCCAATTCAGATTTAACTGCAAACAAATAGAGTATATGGTGTACTATTGCAAAAGAATGAAATTGTAGATTATACAGACTACAGTTATATGCTCGGAGATTTGACTTTGGGAGTCAGGCGGCTATACTATACTCCTTTAGTTTTTCTTATGTACATTTGAAATTTTGAATTGCTAGTTAATTTCTTTTTTTTTTTAAAAAAAAAAATTGGTAGCTTATTTCAGATAATCACAAGATAAGATATTTTTTAAATTACGATACAATTCGTAAGCTGTTCTAAAAAGAAATTTAAAACCCAATTAACCCGCCCAAGCCCAATACCCGAGTTTAAGTTTGGCTATTGACCTTAAATCTGATCTATTCGATCTGATATTTCTTTTCTTTTCTTTTATTTGCATCATCATTAATGGTGTATTTGGTTTTAAGGAAAAAGTAGGAAAAGGTAAGAAAACTTTAGAAGGTATTCCTACCTTTTCCTTTCTTTCCTTACCTTTTCCTTCAAATCAAACATAGCCTAAGGTATATGGCAACGGGCAATTTGCTAAGAGCCTCTCTCTTGATGGGTAATATATATAACTTGTGTGCCAACCCCATATACTTGGAATAAGGCTTGAATGATGATAAAAGTATAATGGTACTCACTATGTTAACGAGGTTAAGATAGCAATGATGATAATGATGTAAACGGGGCTTATTAGCTTACAAACAAGCCAATTTACTACTCTTTAGGGGTGGCAATTTCTCACCCAACCCGCTGAATCCACCCAATCCACTTAGAATCCAATCTGCCAATTCAATTTAAATGGGTTGGGTCGAGTTAGGTTGTGGATAACCATTGGGTTAACTAAAGATACACGTATGAATTCTTTAGACATTTTTTTAATTTTCTTCATTTGAATGAAATAATTTATAATTAATGCATTTTTTTATTAATTATTGACCAAAATTAGTTTTGCCTTGAATCAACACACTTCACCAAAATTGACATAAATCCAAATCAACCGAACCCAAATCCGGACCATTTTGGATCAATTTAACCTAGGTTGAATATGAACAAACTTGATCATCTCGGTTTGATTCATTTGGGTCGATTAGCCTACTCCAAACACAACCTGATTCAAACGGGGCAATCTAGACCGACCCGAATAAAGAACGGTTATGTTTGGGCTAGCTAGCCCTAGACCCGAGACCTGCCATAGCCTGATATGGATGAACCAACCCGACTTGAATTCGAAACGGCCCAACCCAATTCCATTAACCCACTATGGACCATCCGGTTTGGTCCCAAACCCATGCACAATCAAATATGGGCCGGTCTGAGTCAATCCATCATTAACTGAACCGGCTCGCTCTGGTCCGACCGGACTAATCCAAACCCAAATGGTTCAACCACTCATGATGTCCTTAGCTCGAAGAGAATTCAATTACATAGTTCAAGTTGGTCTAGCCAATTTGAACCTAAGTGATTCGATCAAACCTGAAATCCGAACATACTCAAATGGCTTTGCCACTTGTGTAAAAATAATACACATATAATGTGATGTGAACTTTCACTACTTGTGTAATTAACAACTACTATTACCATCAAGCTATGACCAACTTATTTGTCAAATGGGAGTTAGTTTTTAGTTTTAAGTACATAAATATAAGATTAATGGGTTTGGGCGGATTATATTGAGTTAAGGCAGATTTGGGTTAAACCCAACCTATTTAATTTTATATAACTGGATCATTAATAGATTGGTGGATTAGA